CCCGGCTATTTTTTGGTTCTAGCTGTCATTGTTGTTTGGCAGGTCCCGGCTGGATTCAAACCCACCAGCTCAGGTGTATGTGGCTGGTGCCTTAGCCGGTTGAGCCACAGGCACCGAGCCAACTCTGCTATTCTAAACTTGCTGGTGATGTTTGTGATAAAACTGGGCCAGGTATTTCTTCATTTGAGCTTAGTTCAAAGTTGAACTTATGGAGTATAATTGGAGGGATGGGTATAGAAATGCCTGAGGGAAGCACAAAAATACCTCCTAAAACTAAAATAGGCTGTTTTTTTTTTTTTTTGAGACAGAGTCTTACTTTGTCACTATTAATAAGTGCTACCATGTCTAGCTAATTTTTCTATTTTTTTTTATTTTTGGTAGAAGTAGGGACTTGCTCTTGCTCAGGCTTGTCTTAAACTCCTGAACTGTAGCAATCCTCCTGCCTTGGCTTCCCAGAGTGCTGGGATTATAGGAGTGAGCCAGGAGCCTGGGCTACTTATCTTTGGGACTCTGTCTATTGGAAGCCCAGACAGAAGTCGACAAGTGCAAAGAAAAGATGTTTGTCCTTCATCCGTATTTATTTAACACATAGACTTATTGGATGTCCTTTGGGTGTCTGGCCTTATGTCTACATACAAGGAAATGTGCTGGACCCAGGAAATATATGAAATAGAGCCACTGTTTGTTTGAATCTACTTGGGGGAAGAGGCAGACAGGTAAGCAGATAAGAATAAAAAGGCACAATCAGTGATCAAATAAGAGTCTGTGTAAGGCAAGTGGGGGTATACTAGAGCGACAGGCAGATCTCCGAGAGGTACATTTGTATCTGGGAAAGGCTTCCTTGAGGGAGGAAGGTGAATCAGCTGCCTTCTTTTCACTATGGAAAATGACCATCTGGCTTCTCCTGAGCAGGATCATCTTGAGCTCGATTCTCACTAGGTTGTCCCTTCCCAGTTGTCCTTTTGGATAGTAGGAGTTAAAGTTTTTCTAGAACTGGTTCCCCCAGAGCTTTGGTATAAGGGACATTGTTGGTTTAAATTGTACATATTATCTCCCACCAAATTGGTTTGCTCTCTTCTTGTGTTTCAATCCTCATTGAATACCTGTCACCCCAGTCACCAAAAACAGAAAGTCTGGAGCCACCTGGATTGCCTCTTCTCTTCCTCAGCAGCTGCTTTTCCAGATCTGGTTGATTCTGCTTCTGTAGCTGCTGTCAAGTCTCCCCTTGCCCCCCGCCCAGGCCGTGGATTTGGTCTAGGCCCGCATGGTCTCTTGCTTGTTGTTCTGTCCTTCTCATATACAGTTGGTGTATGTATCTCTCTCCTTACCATCAACCATATTTAAATCCGTTGGTTCCCTGTGGGCTTTGGGATAAAGTTCAAATTTCTTAACTTACTGTCTGGGTTTTTACTGTCTACCGTCTTCTGAGTTTGGCCTCTGTCAGTCTCTTTAGCACTACTTCAGGCCTCGCTTAGCTTCCACTCCCCTTTACAAGCCATGCCCCTTCATCCAGCCATTCAGAATGTTTTGTTCTTCACTGACACAGTACCCTATTTTATGATTTTCTGTCTTTGTAGGGGTTGTTCATTCTGTGTGGAAAGTCTCTCTTTCCTTCTTGAGTTCATCTAATTTTTACTGATCTTTCTAAATTTTGCTCTAGTGTTACTTCCTCCCCGAAACATTCCTTGATTTCCTAGCCTGGATTTGATAGGCCTTCTGTGGGCAGTCTCATCAGTGTCAGAGAACATAGCTTACTATATCATGATTTTTTATTTATTTGTCAGTCTTCCCTACTGGAGTATGTGCTGTCTGGGCCCAGTCAGTGTCTTATTTATGTTAGCATCTCTAGTGTCTAGTACTTTGCCTGGTCTGTAGTAGTTATGCTTATAAAATCAGTGCATGAATAAATGCATCTGTTTTTTCACCTGGCTATGGATGATTGCTATTATAAAGTGTCTGTAGAGCACAAAGGAAAACATGCATGGGGTTGGGAATTTGGGAAAGAGTTCTGCCTGTGCTGAAGGAAGTGTGACATTTCACCTCGCCATTCATTCCCCATCCTACACCTCTCAGCTTTCCATTCCTTCTGCTCAGCCAGTTGAGAGCTAGTTCCTTTAAGGCAGCGGTTCTCAACTTGTGGGTCGCAACCCACAGGAACTGTATTAAAGGGCTGTGGCAGTAGGAAGGTTGAGAGCCACTGCTTGAAGGGCTGCCTTCTTGGAAAGAGAGTCAAGGATAGGGCAGAGTGGGAGGCTAGTCTGAGAACAGGGCAATGCCCAGAGGTCCAGAGCATTCCTTTATGTTGTATCAGTTGATGGACCAGGGACCTGAGCTCCCTGCTCGGTGGGTCTGGGGCATCTGCCCTGCCATGTGCCTCTCATCACTGTTCCCACAACATGGGTTGCATTGATGGTGATGGTAGGGTGGAGATAGAGCCCTTGCATGTATGACTGTTTGCTATCTGATTAAAAAATAAATTTCTGCTTTTCTTAAAATGCTTTGCAGAATCCAACTCCAGTTTTGTTTTGATTCAAAGAAGAGCCTGACTCTGAGACTCTAAAAAAATCTTACTTCACAGTTCCCACAGCACATTCATAAATGGTACATTTAAGGGAGATGTCAAAGACTCCTGTGGAGTATGTGCTGTCCCCTCCTGTTGACATTAATGGGACCCCCACAGTCCAACTACCACTCATCTCTTTGTAAGCTGACTCCAGCAGTTCCACACCTCTGCTTCATGGCATCAGGGTAGATAAAAGCACCACTAGCTTTTTATTAAAGCCCAGAACTCCTGGAATGAGTTAAAAAAGAGCTGATTCACTGTTCTGGTTATAGACAAAAAATTATCCGGATCTTGATTTTTTTTCCTTTCAAATATACATATTGTAATATTTACAATAAATTAACATACAAAAAAGCACAGTAGTTAAAACAACATTAAATTGGATTAAAAGCAAATAATCCAGGTGTATATTCTTTAGAAGAGGAATTCCTAAACTTAAGGACATAGGACATAGAAAGTTTAAAGTTACAGTGTTTAGTCTTCTGTGACTTGGGCTATTAAAAAAATGGGCTAAAAAAGTTGTACAACATAATTTTGTAGGCCGATTTAATGAATATAGCACCTAATATTTTCTCAAGACTACATGAAACATAAAAATAGGAGCAAATACAAAGTTATGAGATAAGTCTGATCAAATAAAAAAACAAGTAAATATTACAGGACATATTTCTTTATCACAATTTACTTTTTAGTCAAAATGAGAAAGTAAATGAAAATACTTCAATTGGAAACTTGAAAGTTTGTAAGCATCTCTTAGGTCAAAGAAAAATTATGGTATACTGAATATCATAACAAAATAACATCTAAGCAGATTATGATTCTTAAAGGTTGTGCAAAAAAATAAAAAAAGAGCATTCTTCTTTTTAACTCCACTGTCCTCTGGACTCTAAGTCTGTCTTAGAAAGGTGCTCCAGGGTAAAATTTCATGGATGAGATTTCTATAGGGAGGTGCTGAAATGCTTGTAAATGCTAAAACATAAAAAAGCAAAATTGCCTAGTCCTGATTTTAGGTGTTGTGTAAAAATAGTTGCATGCTTGGTTTATTTACTATATACCTGTGTCTAGGTTTTTGGAGCTCCTGAGACCAAAGCCTAGTCTTGAAAATCCTGACAGGCTTTCAAGGGTCTCATGGTGCAACTGCCTCGGTGATAACCTTGGTGCTTATGGGTTTTGGGATGTTAAAAAGGACCGTCATCTTTGGAGACCGTTAAAAGCAGTCAAGATCACTGAGATCTTTAGATTCTCAGTAAAGACCAGGCATTAGCCGTCCTTCCCCTCATCCCAAAGCAGACTAAAATCTGCTGGTGCTTTTCCTACCTACCCCGGGGTTGAATTCATTTCTTATCCCTTGGCCTTGGAAAGGCAATCATAGAATGGCCGTTTGACTAGCTTGTCCATTTGAGACCCTGAACCAGCTCAGTTTCTATAAGATCTTATAGGAGGGGGATTGAGAAGAGCCTGGGCCAAGTCACCAAGTCAGAGAAACATTTCTATTGCCTGACACTCTTTTTTTTT